CTCTGTTCAATGGAGACATGGAGCCCGAGGCCGGCGCTGGCGCCGCGGCCTCTTCGGTTGCGGACCCGGCCATTCCTGAAGAGGTGAGTGGCGGCCCCATCCTCCCCCACCGAGTGCCTGCGCGTCGGGGGCTCCGCGGGCCGGTGTTCATGCGAGGGACCGAGCGGGAGCCCCGGCTCTGCCTGGCGGCCGGCGGGGAGGTGGGTATCGACCCGGCGTCCCCCTTCGTCTCTCTGCTCCTCGCTACGTAAACACACTCGCTGGCCCAGAGGGGTTCCCCGGCCCCCGCCCAGTTGGGGTTGGGGCAGCGGGGCAGAGGGGGAGCCTTTCCGTAGGGGGCGAAACTCTGGGTTGGCGAGAAGGTCACGCCTGGCCGAGGTTTCCAGCCCTGCATCCCTGAGATGTTTTCATTCTTGCCAGCCGGCAGGGACGGCGTCGAGGATGGAGCCGGGCAGGACCCCTGGATCCCCTAGCCCAAGGAGCTGCCGTGTGTGCTCGCTCCCTGGCCGTGGGGATGACGGAGCGCATCTCTCTCTACTCTTCCTCGCTATCTTCCTTTGGCAGGCTCGTGTCCCCTTCCCACTTTTCTACTTGTTTGTTCTTTTGGCCGGTTTTGCCTAGGGGATGATTTTGGGGTAGCCTTTACTTTTTCAGCCCCCGATTTTACTGCTCCCGAAGCTTTTCCCATCCTGGTCTCTGATCCCCAAATAATAATGTTTGTGAGTGCTCCCATGCTGACCCGTACCCTCTCTCCCACCCTCATCCACCACCCGGTTCATTTCCCACTTGTACCTACTTGCTGCTAACCTTAGCTGCCACTGAAGAGCATTTTTGCGTTTCTCTTGCCCCAGTCCTCTCGAGGCCCCCTCCATTCCACTGCTCCCTCACACCGTAATATTGTTATCTTCACAAATCCTTTTGGACACTTTGGGAGGTACTCGCTCCCTGAACCCCAGGGTTGTCAAGATTCCATCAGGTTTCACTTGGCTCTTTCCTTCCTTGCCCTGCTGGTGATGTGGGTCAGTATTCACGGCTCTTTATTGATATCCTTCGTGGTTTTTTGTTTTTAGTGGGTATAACTGATTTGTTTTTCGTCCCATTTTTTTCCTCTTTCGTGTTTACCTGCCTTTAGTACTTGCTCCTCTTAAGCCTGTCTTTGCATCATTCGACTTATTACGTTGTCAGATTAATTTATTCTTTTTTTTTTCTGTATGTAAAACGTAACATATTTACTATTTGGGCATTGTATCACGTAAACAATACCGTGTTTTACAAACACTTGATTAGTGTGACTTAATTTTGTTGATTTTGCTTACAGATAAACCTGCTACTTAAGTTTCCTAATTCTCATACTACCTCCTTTCTTATCTCTGCAATATTCTTCTTCCTGCTTCATTATATTTACTTGGGAAATTCATCCGCTACTCTTGATATATCATTAGCAATCTGTTCACAATGTTTGTTTTCCACCCTTTGGTGCCTTCTCTGCCCAAAATGTGTTTTGGGAGTCTAAATTTCTCACATTTCCCCCCTATTTACTTTGAAATAATTCCAACTTCCAGTTTGAATGTATGCTTAGGTTAGTTTCCATTTGCGTTTCTTTATTTCCCCCAGCTTCTTCGATTTCAGGGGTAAAGCCTCTTCCCTTCATCCATTTCCTAGTTCAGACTGTTTCCCTTATCCCTAGTTACCATTCATTCTGTCTTGTTTCCTGGCTTTTGGTACTTAACTTACTGAAGCTTCCTCTTGTCTTCCACACCTCCACATTCCTTCTTCTTTATAAACAACTTTGTTCCGTTGACATGGAAATTTATTTTTAGGATACATTGTTTTTAATGGAGAAATGCTAGGGGTCACACCTGCTGTCTCTTTCTCCAGGAATCGGATATGCCTTTGTCTTATTAGGCACAGGTGTCCCTCGGCTTCACTTTACTCTGCCGGGATGTAGGTCTTCTTGAATTGTGTAGCTGTGTGAGGACTGTGATAGAGGTATAGGCAGATTAATGGGTAGGAGTGAAACAACGATAATTCTCTGATATGACACTAATTTGAGAACTTTGTTTCAGAGTTATTAGAATAGTTTGCATTTCTGTATGGAAGAGTTTGTTACTTGAGGGAGCTAGAGCACTTGGACTTCTTACCTTGCTCCACCTCCCCCACTTCTTTCTGAAGTTGTGAGTATTAGGGCTAAAACTTTTATGTTTGGCACTTTCTGGGCACTTCCGATGTACCAGTGCTTGAGGACCTCTATGTTATATGAAGTCAAATTAAACCGCCAATAAGTGAAGGCATGTTCCTATATCCTGAAACTGTATTCTTTATTTAGTTAAACGACAGATGTTTCCCATTGCCCCTCTCCCAGGGTTTAATGTTTGGTGATGAATAGTTGTCCTCTTCTATAAAAGATGATAAATACATTGGATTGGGGGAGATTATGATGAAAAGTGCACCTCTGTTGACTATAGATACAAATATTACACATAACAGTGAGTTCTGTCAGGAAGTAGTGTCGTGCAGCCCGGGCTTGTCAGGAACTCAGTATGCTGCTGAGGCTGCAGTAGCACTCCAGGTCCTCCTGCACTACCCCCTAAGTGCTGGGAGTGCCCCTCTTCCTAGCAAGAAGTACTCTTAAATGCAAAGTTGACGTTAATTCAGAGAAAACTCAAGTGTACTGTGGCCTTTTAGTTGAACTGTCTTCTTAAGAATTTAAAGGACTATCTTTAATTATTAAGTACATGGAAATATGAAAAGTTCTCTGTGTGTGTAATGACATTTGATTCTAAATTTTTATCTTACCTGAGTTTAAAGGAGATTTGTCAGAGAGAAAGTTCAGCTGCACCAAAACTAATTACCAAGTGAAAGCATGTCCATTATTGAGAAATTAGAAGAGGACAAAAGTGTCCACAATGTATAATTGTAAGCATTTGCATGTTTTATAACTAGCCTTTTTTTTATGCTTGTGTAATACATTTTGTATAGAGATTTGCAACTTTGAAACAGTAGTACAGTAAACTTGTGTATCCCTAGATAAAGTATGATTTAACTGATAACTTATTTGGACATTAGGTTATTACTATTTTTTAAAAAATGCTGTCATTAATCATCTTCAACATAGAATGCAGATAGTGGTATGTAAAAGTGTCTTGGAGAATAAACATATTTCATGGCCTGTTTTTGTATTACTTTTTATATTCCCAAAATAAAATATTCTGATAAATGATAAGAATTTACTAAATGTTTATTAAGTGTATTATAATTTTGCTACTAAGCATTTAATTCTGACCATTTATATTTCCTTAGTGATACTTTCTTCCTGTGACCATATGGTATGACATGGTACATGCTATAATATTACCAGATGGTTAATAATAAATGCATTTATTATTTAAAATGTGTGATACCAAAGTGTGATATTTACTATCTCTTCCTTTCATGCTGTGTTTCTAGAGAAGAGAGTTTCTTGAAACTGTAATGAAATTAGAATTGTAGTTTCTGTTTTCAAGAACTCCTAGCCAGTCTTGGATAAACTAAATAATTATAATAATGCATTGGCTGGGGAATATCCTAGGATGGGATCTACTTTATAATGAGGCCCACTGTATTAAAATACATCTTTGTGAACCCTGCTGGGTAAGGTTGCATCATACCTGTGAAAAATGGTATTCTCACTAAGGTAGGACAGCGCATGTGCAGAAAGTTTTAGCTTTTGCTATTAATACTTGTTTGGATATATGCAAAGATTTCCTTTGGAGAGGGAAGCTACAAAGTAGCTGTTTGTCTTCAGTATATCTATGTTCCTACCTTTCATAACCCCTTTCTTTTTCCTGACTTAACATCTTCCTTTAGGCATTCATTCATCCTTTTATTTAAAAAAACAAATTATCTTGTATCAGTTGCTTTATGCTGCAATCTATTGTAAGTCAACTAAAAGGAATGTTGGACTAGATGTTTGCTGTATGGAATGTCTTAAATGTAATTGCAGATTTGATTTAATTGTGTTTGGAGGCCAGAAAAATTACAGTAGTACAACACACTAGAGCAATCAGACTTTTTTTGTTTTTCTTTCTTCCATTTTACTGATTGGGACTAACAGGTTTGATAGCCGCTGGAAAGCCATGTTCTGTGAGTGACAAGGAAGAAAGTATTGTCTTACTGTGCTTTGGTGTTTTCTAAGACTTGTTACCTACCAAGTCACACAATAGGGCAACTGCTTATTATTCTTTCCCCCTTCATCTCCAGCCATAAAATTGCTTTCTCCTACAGAGCTGAGAAGTGTATTTTGTTTCATTGACAACTTAATTTAAGTGAATAATTAGTGAACGGCTTGTCATAATCTCCTTCATTTAAAAAATATTGTTTGCTCCCGTTCCTGGATTCCTATGTTAAATTCCTGTTAAGATAAGCCTCTTTGTCAGCAGCTCCTACTAGATTTTGTCTTCCTGAGAAGTTCAACTGTTTACAGCTCTTTCTTCTTTTCCCCTTGCCTGGTTCACCTATGTTGATTCTTCTGTAATGCCCCAATTATAAATAATTATAGAACTTCTGAAATCAAAACAAGTAGGCCTGTTTGGGAGCTTTTCTAGTTTTTGAGGTCATGCTGTGCTTTCTTTATCATAGTGCCAGAGATAACTTCATGTTAGTATAACAAGACATGCATTCTCATTGGTTCACACATTCCTTCTTTAAATATTTCATTAATGCATTGACATATTCTAGAAGGTGGTTTTTAAAAAAATTTTCAGTCTTTATTAACATAATTTACTATCATACTTATGAGCCATTAAGTCAGGAACAATTTAACAGTTTATAACAAACTTTAAGCAGTTATTTTTTTTCTTTCCCTCTACTATTAGCTTGCATTCTATGTTTTCTCTTGATCTTTATTTTTGTTTTGTTTTGTTTTTTTGAGACATGGTTTCTCTGTGTAGTCCTGGCTCTCCTGGAACTCACTCTGTAGACCTGGCTGGCCTCTGTCTCCCAAGTGCTGGGATTAAAGGCATGTACCACCACTGGCAGGCTTTCTCTTGATCTTTAAAAAAAATAATAAGTAACCATCTTATTATTATTGTTACTTCCAATATCA